ATTTTCCGCACTTGGTAAGAAACTTTATAACAGCACGGAACTCGATTTTCTCCATATTTCACAATTTCTTCCCAATTGACTTCTTTGGTTGACGATAACTCAAAGACTGATCTAATTACAATAAAACCCGGTATTTATACTAATAATGAATTGCTCAATTAGCACGTAATAAGCGACGTCCCCACTTATTACCTACCTACCCATTCCGCGAACTTAAAAACGCATCCTCATATAACTATAATTTTAAGATAGCATAAGACGATAGAAAAGCTGCACAAAAAGCTGCCATATAAAGGCACGTACGTACGGTAAGGTAAGGTGTGCTTCTGACCACGCGCCTCGCACTTCAGCACAGTTTTTGTTCCCGATGTCTGTTCTAGTGTATATGTGGCGGCGCTGTCGTCGCTCCACAAGCGAAACACGACGAAAACTAACTCGCGCTATCAAAGTTCCGAAGTAAACACAGTATATATAGAATAACTCCGAACTAATAATCGGCTGCGCCCCCTTTCCCCAAGGGGACTCGCTTCCCATACGGCAGAAAGGCCCTCCAAGCCAAAGCCAGTCCCAGGTCGTGTTTAGTGGGTAGGCACGTAGATTTTCATCGTGAGCTGCGTGGTATGTTAAGAGCATTCCCCACTTCCCGGAGGGTAGCCCTTTACTTTGCTTCTGGGCGCAAAAAAAAACTACCACTCGGAGCGTTGGCCGCTCCCCGGGCCGATCACCTTGCCCGGCGTGGGATCGCCCCTTTTCCTTTCATGGCCAAATATAGTACATATTACTTCAATGTAAAATGTATTTTTTTAGGTTTTTGGGCCGTACGTGATGGTTGGCCAAAAAAAGGGGAAACTATACTATATAAACGACCAAGCGGACGTTACGACAGCGATTAAACTATGGAAAGTATCGCAACGGAGCCAGGAATAGCCTGGCGGCGCGCCAAGCACGCGCGGAAACCGGAAGTGACGCCGGCCAAAGCCCGGATGGACTTTGTCAACATCCACTGGTTGATAGCATTTGTGAACTTTGTATTTATGGTGTTTCATCAAAATGCGCATAACGAATACATACAGAATCACTCACTATGGTGACCGCACACTTATTTCTTTGAACTATTTGATATTTGACGGTTCAAGGTTTGTACTTACGTGGTAGAGCCACGCTGCAGCTATATTACGGTTATAGCACGAATGGACCGGGGAAAGAACAAGCTCTCACAGAATACCAGCGTAAAATAGCAGTTTAATGCTAATGTGTTTCGTATGTCGAGTGTAGGGAACCGGAGAGCTTTTTTACTGGAAACGAGGCATTCATCCGCATTTTGATTCTTATTAAGTTAAATAACGATGTCTATGGGCCACAGTATCTACTTACCATCAAACTATTTATTCTACAAAAAAAACTTATTTTGCAGGTATCCTCCACGGACCATCTGAACTTACTAACTTGTCACCTTAGTTTAAAAAAATAGGCGATGGTAAGGTCACTGTATTATGGGTTTAAAGGGTAAGAGTGTCGGCATACTTACAACCTTCCCCATAGGTTGCCTCATAGGTGGTATATTTGCCATAGTTGCCACACTGGGCAAGCGGGTTGACAACCTCAGTTTTTTAATTACACTCGGTATTACGAAGACGCTGCTGTCTATCTCCTGATTTGTTTCCCTCTGTCGCCTCTTACGACAGCCACAAGATGATGTGGGGTAGTGGATATTCCTACAGCGCCACTACACGGTTAACATACATTCTACTGCTTGCATGATTGCAAGCTCAAAGGCATTTCATCTTACCTCCGTGGCTTTAGTTCTAGAGGAAATACGGGCCGAGAGACTTTTGAAAATTAGGTATTTGAAGACACTATCGCGAACGCTCTGCATCCGATAAGGACAAATGCATATCAGACTGAATAGCCTAAGTAAAAAGGCATAATTCGATGTTTGGCTCTCTACTATTTCCTCCTCCAATATTGAACCAATTTAAAAGATATTTCGTAAACTGAATAAGAGAGATATGCACTGTGTTCCTATGTTTTTTTATCAGTACCTATTAGTTATCGAATTTGAACACTAGGCCTCTCTTGACAGCGGTCTAGATAGGCAATTTTGAGCATTTTGTTCGGGTTCTAGTGCTTATAAAAGTAATGTATCATCAGAAAGGAAAACATTAGGACATAGAAGAGGTTGATATTTATTTTACTGTAAAAGATCATTGGTATAAGGTCATAAACCATAAACAAAATAGGCGAGAGCGTTTGTATGGAGAAAATACCACCCTCATTTCCTCTTAAGAGGTTTTGCCACTTACAAAATTACACAATATAATTATGTTACTCGCAGTTAATAAAAACAAAACAAAACAAATTGGAAGGGTTTCTTGTATGCAATCTGAACCGTGTAAAGTAATTTATTAAAACTTTAGTGTTCGTCATCAAAGCATGTAACGCCATCTTACATCCAAATATAGACATTACAGATGGTTATTTCAGTAGCTACCGTTCTTTTTAAATAGATGGCGCTGATAGCTAAGTTTGCGACATCTATCTTATAATTTGTGTACCACCACGTCTAACATTTTTATTAGTACTGAACCTATTCCCACTAGAATATTTTATGCTCGATTACTTTCTTAAAAACGAGCCAGCACTAATGTTTTACAGCAACATGGCAAACAACATATTTTATATTTATAACAGATTATGGCTGAGAAAAAACAAAGGAAAAACAAGAAAGTGAATGACTCCGTAAAATTTTTCTTACAACAAACTTTTGAAAATGGGTTTAATAAGAACGCATGTAATAATTATTTTTAAAATTAAATCCTAGGAATAATTAAATATCAATAAAAAAAGTTGCCAAGATGCCTCCTGTGAGGATTGAACTCACGACCCCTGGTTTACGAGACCAGTGCTCTACCACTGAGCTAAAGAGGCGATACGATTCCTTCTGAAATAATGATTCACTTGGAGTTTCGTAACATGCTATACAGCCTCTATAAGCCCACTATTAGAATTTAGCCTCTACCGTTATGAGGGGTTTGCCTTAATTATCACGCTTACACAAGCAGAGGGCAGATAAAAAAAAATAAAAAAAAAAAGAATAAAATTCACGATTGAAGTGCCAAACGTTTGCTACAATTGACGCTACCCGTCGCTAACCTGCGTATTTTGCGCCTGACAAAATCGAGATTGTAAAACCACCATATCTTGGTATTGATAAGATTTTTCCGGCAATTCCCGTAATCGCCTCTAACAACACCCAGGGGTCAAAATTGAGCGATAGATTCTATCACAAGGCATTGGGGTAAGACCACGCTCTCACAGAATACCAGCGTAAAATAGCAGCTCAATGCTGCTGTTTCATCATATGGTGAATTTGGAGAACCGGGTACCCTTTTTGCTGGAAACGAGGAATTCCATCTTAGTTGACGTGTTGTCACCCCCGAGAACTAAGATGGAATTCCTCGTTTTTTTTTTTTCCTTTTTACATTTCATTTTACATTTCACATTATACAGTTTTTACATTTTACATTTCATTTTTAATCGAATGTAGATATCAATGGGCCACAGTACTCACCATCAGGTGAATTGTGTACTCGTTTGTCACCCATATTCTATAAAAAAGTCAATTAGAATATTATATTTATTATTAATATCAATAAAATACAAGAGAAATCAAACATATAGCGTGCTTGCACTCCTGTGTTCCTGATAATAATATTAGTCATATAGAGGCATGGCTTTTCTTCTTGGATCCCAAAGGTAACAATGCATACATAGCTGTCATGATTTAAAGTTTGCTTCAATTGTCCTTTAGCTACAATAACGATAGATTCTGTGTCGCTCTAGAACAGTGGTTCCCAACCAGTGGTCCGCAAGAACTTAAATATGGTCCACGAAAGGTTTAAATATTTTACCTACCAAATCGTTTTAAATAACACATTTATTATTTTTAGTAGCTTCTACAATAAATACACAAATAATACTGTTAATCAAAGGCTTCTTTTCAGTTTACTAAATAATTATGTTAAAAGTTGTGATTATAATTTATTGTTAGATTAACAGATTTTCTTGTACCTTATTCCCTGCTAACTACAAAACAATCAAAGTGATCCCTGGTCCAAAAAAAGATTCGAAAACCCTGCTCTAGAATAAAGTCAAAATCAAATATTTTAAACGCTACACCATCACATCAAACAAGTCCCTACTGCGGAAAGTTCTTGTGAAAGTGGCCTACCTATAGCGTAATCTGTTCCTGTTATATTCAAATATTTGAAGGAACATAATCTTAGAATGGTTCTAGCCTTTTTTTTTTCTTAGAATAAGGGTGACAAACGAGCACACAGTCCACCTGATGGTAAGTGGTTCTTGTGGCCCATAGACTTCTACATCTATTTTCGTTTGCAAATTAAAATGCAGATGCGTTGTCAGCCGTGAGGACTAAGATAGCATGCCTCTTTTCCAGTAGAAAGGGTCTCCAGTACTCTACACTCACCATACGAAACACAGCAGCATTAAGCTGCTATTTTACACTGGTATTCTCTGAGAGCATGGTCCTTCCCCGGTCGAGCCGACCTATTCGTGCTACAATTGTATTATATTAATAATAATATATTAATAGCTGCAGCATGGCTCTACCACGTATAGAAATGCCTATAAATGGATTCTTTCTTTACAAAATTTTTAAAAAGAAAAAATTTCACTCTTGTTTTGGAATATTTTCAAACTAAAAAGATTTAAATAGTGAACATTTAAAGAAGAAAAAACTCAGCTTCAAGCAACTTAAAATAATTTAACAATTCCCACACAATTTAAAAGCTGTTTTTTTAACTATTGAAGTTTGTAGTTCCTCGATACTCTATGTCTTAGCACCGGCTTCAGATAGTATTAACTTATGTATAAGTTATTTTATTCATTCCAGTTCTTTAAAGTTGGTTTCTACTGGTTTCAAAAGTTTAATTTTATTCATTTAAATTGGAGGAATACTAACAAAGTACTAACTAAACTTACCTTGCATTGTTTTGGCTGATATCTGTGGAAAAAAAATTAAAGAATATAAAATGCTATCAAGCAGTGCTACAAAAAGGTTTTTTTTTATTATTTTGTGGCTTTCACCCCAGGCAGGTCTGTTTGTCCCATTTGTACCCTTGTACCAACACTATATAACTATACTTAACACTAAACAAAAATTGCATTTTAGATTTAAAGAAAGAGTTATTGCTATAAAAGAAAGGTCTGTGGCAATTTGATACCAATCTTGTTGTCAATTCTCATTGTTTTTATTTGGTTTGGGGTGGAAGAGTAGTATCCTAGCACAAGCTTTATAAAATTATGAATAAATATTTTATTAAAACATCAAAGGAAATTATCATACTACTATACTAACTTATTTGCACTATTGACACCATGAAATTAGGTGACATTCAAATACCAACACTAGGTTCAGCAGGGAACTTTTATGTTCTGAAAAAGGAAAAATATGTATGTTCAGCCATAATGTATTTTTAAACGAATTATTATATAAAATCGTTTTCCACAAAAGAAATGTAACAAATATTATAATGCACATTTTTAACGATAACAAAATCAAAAAGTACTGCCGAAACCCGGGATCGAACCAGGGACCTTTAGATCTTCAGTCTAACGCTCTCCCAACTGAGCTATTTCGGCTGCTGGTAAGATTGCTTAAAAACGTAATGTATATATAAAGTTTAATGTACTATTTTTCCTATCATTAATTATATTAAAAACATGATTAAAAGGTAATATATACTATATTACCTTTTAATCATGTTTTAATAATATTTACGTCATAAAATCATATATTTACGTCTTCTACCTAAATAATTACTCAGCCATATTGTAAATATGGTACATACTAACGCCATCTCTATTTTTAAAGTTCAAACTATGTACCTTTACTGTCAATAGATGTCACTGTACACAAACTCAAATTCTCAATTATTCCTACCTTTATAAATTAATATTTTTCCTCACTTTAAAATGAAGAAAATGTCACACAATCCTAACTGACCTGAACTGCAACTGCTTAATCTCTAGAGGAAGGTAAAGACCCTTTTTCCTGAGCCCTGTCACCTGTGCACTGCACACTGTTTGGAGATGCCACTTTGGATTTAGTGTCAGCTTAAGAATAGCTTAACCTCTCAGACCTTGACATTTTATTGGACATATTTAGTTAGAACTATGGTCAAGCTAAAGAGTATAGTAGGTCAGGCCAGACGATTTTTTAAAAAAATGGTAAAAATAACTTAGAGTCATTACTATGTTCATATCCAAAAATAAAAAATTATCAACAATTAAAATATCGAATTATTTATATGAAGGTCAAGTGAGCGCTAGAGTGACGACGATTGCAAGACGATTTGTCGATAAATGAAATGTTTCGAGAAATTATCAATTACTGTGTAGTGGCGGTGTATGAATATTCATACTATTCCGTGGGTTTCGTAAGAGGCGACTGATCCACTGTTCAATACAACAAGGTACGTGTACCGTGGAACAGAACGTGGCAACTATGACAAGTATACCCTCTATGAGGAATATAGTGGAGGCCTATGTTCATTGGGGGTTTTTATAGGATGTAACGGTCCATCACCAGCAGTGGAATGAAACTGTAAGGAGAGGGAGGGATTAATTTTATTATTTAAAAAAATATTTTTGTGTTTTTTTTTTATAGAAGAGGGGGCAAACGAGCATGCGGCTCACCTGATGGTAAGTGACTACCGCCGCCCATGAACAACCGCAACACCAGGGGAATTGCAGATGCGTTGCCGGCCGTTTAGAAAGGTGTAAGCTCTTTTCTTGAAGGTCCCTAAGTCGTATCGGTCCGGAAAATCCGCCGGTGGTAAACAATTATGTGTAAAAAAGTCATCAAACAGCATCAAACAATTTATTAAACAAAAGTTGCGTAAACAAGTTCAATGGTTAAAACAATATTAAATAACAAAACCAAACAATTCTACTGAAAAGAAAAAAAAGTAAATATTATTTCACTTTTACAACTAAGGCAAATCTAACGAATATATATATATTAAAATCGAATAAATATTATGAAGAAAGAAACAAGGACATAGAAACACTTGATTTTCATAAAGAAAAGAAATATATAATATAATTATATCGATAAACTCAGTAGAAGCCTCAAAAAAAATTAAATCACAGGTATATACTTGTACATCCGTAAGATAGCGTAATAAAGTATATACTTTATTACGCTATCTTTGAACAACGCCATTTTTCTAACGACTTCAAACAGGAGAAGGAAGTCGACTGTGTTTTTTTATGTGTGTTACCTCATAACCTTCTGGGTGAACTGATTTCGATGATTCTTTTTTTATTTGAAAGCTGGTGCTTCATTTTTATTTTTAGTTATTGTTGAAAACAACTTCGCCATAATGTTCACTATATATCGAAATTATAACATAAAACGTAATTTTCGCGCATTGGACTTTGTGGGATATGAAAATTTGTGTTTATTACATGATTTATTGTGATAACTCACACTTTTTATTTACTTTTCAGTTAATTCTGGCTATTAAATATAGTGATACGTGAACGACACAGTATTTGAAATGGCAATTTTATAAAATATATGAAATTGTTACGAAGCAAAATATAAGGAATTAAATTTTAAAACAGTGTAATTACTTACCATTTGTATAAAAACTAACAAAAATCTTTCTATTGTACCCACTTAATTTTTTGTAAAATTTCTAGTTGCCTCTTACACTCACGCGGCGAAGGATATAAGACTAAAGTATGTGACGTAAACGCGACGCGAGGCGGAAACTCGTCATTTGAAGTAAATTCTGTTAATTTAAAGAAGCGTAATTTAAGGCCAGGTCAAGAGTACCCTAAACCGTAGAGCATGTATGAAGGGAATAATGAAAGTGGACGAAGCAAAACAAGTATGTAAGGATCGTAGCAAGTGGAAAGAACTGGTCTCTGCCTACCCCTACGGGAAAGAGGCGTGATTATATGTATATGTATGTATGTAATTTAATAACGAAACTAATTCTAATAAAATTTTAGTTTTATAGTTCATCTAAATAACATTTAAAAAATAATTGTTATGAGCACAATAACTATGGTTCTGACTAAACGTAGTGTAGTGATCATATACTCTTTGGTTCTGAGGGGTCCTTTCTAAATATTACCATACTCTTTGGAGCGTTCTACAAAGTTGACCTTGGATTGCCTCATGTGTACTTCAAAGGCTTGACAGATTAAACTTCTTATTATCGTCATCATCTATATCTATACCCCAAGAAATGCCACAAATCACGATCCTGAACCACCCATATCCATCATTATCCTACATATTATCTTACAAGTTCATTTTTCTATGTAGTGGGGAGAAATTTCTAATATGAGAAAATTCAAGAATTACCAATTTCCTCAGCCTGCACTGCCTTGTCCATAGCTACCTGGCCCACATCATTCAAAACAACACCGCAGCTCTTATAAAGATGACTTCTGAGCTTCATAAGCTTTTCTGTTTCTTGATATGCATGGATTTCATCCTGAAATAAAAATAAAGCCATAATCTAATATATAAAAAATAATTTTTGTTCTTCTTCTTCTTTTAAATTATGGCTTCTCTTGATAGAATTCTGCCAGTGTCAAGTCAGTATAATTTTTGTGTGTTCAATTGTTGTTGTGGCACTGCCATATCTTTCTTCAGATTGCGGTAAAACTTTGGCAACTTATTACTTGTATCTGTGCAAAGTTTATAGGCACACTAGCTGTGCCCCGCGTATAACACGCGTCTGTGCTGTGCGACATGACATGACACCTCCCTCATTTAGTTCAATCATTTTAGCTAAAAAATTTGCAAAATTGCGACGCGTATTCTCTCTGACTTGCAAGACGATTTTCAGTTTCTGATGAAAATTCTCCATTACGACGTATTTTTAAGGAACTATTTCTGGAAAGTTGAGTTCTTGATCTTTTGGGCATTTTTCATTATTTAATCATCAGCAGGTAAAAACAAAATGATGAAAAAAATTAAAAGTGCCCTTGTACTAAATTATTTGCTCAACTGTTAAACAGGAATTACCGACCTATTTAAAAATGTAACTGAAAAATTATAAGAACTACTAAGTTACTAAGCTGTCTGGATAGTTAAATGTACAATATTTATTTATCAGTTAGTACCTACTGAATATAACATAAAAAAATGGGTTTAGTTCATCATCCCAGTGACACCCACATCGCATGCTGCTGGCAGTGTAAGGATTTTTCGGCGTTACTATTGAATATATTAACATGGAAAAGTAGTTATTGTGAGATAACTGTAATAGTTAGACATATGGTATCGCGGTGTTTTTTGTAGATATTGATGTCCTCTATAAAACTGTAGCAAATCACTTTGCTCTATTGTCAATAGTTTCCGCAGCGTACGCGATATAATATAATAAAAATTTTTTTGGTATTCTTTTCACACCTTGGGTTACATTAACGAAGTTTTCATGCGGATCCTTAACTTTTTTGAAAACATTCTATTGCCTATGTTCATCAGGAATAATATAGGATTCTAATGGTGAAATAATTTTTCAAATCGGTCCAGTAGTTTCGGAGCCTATTCAATTCAAACAAACAAACAAACAAATCTTTCCTCTTTATAATATTATAAGTGTAGATTACAATAACTTACACTAGGTGGGGAGCATATCACAATAACATATTTATTTGAAAATTATATATCATTCAATTTCAATTAATAATGTTTTATCATTCCTAAATAAACAATATAAATCTTCCAAATTTAAAACTATATTCCTACAGTAATTTCTACTACTGCAGCAACGTGAGGGGAACCAGGTAGTGGTTAATGGAAATAATATGTTTTAATCGCACTAATTAAATAAATTTAATTCTACATAGTTGGTTGGAAGGTAAGATAGATCAAACACAAACCTTTAGTTCCTTTAATCTTGAATGAGATCTGCTTGAAAGGCAATGTCTAACATGCAAGTCAGACCAGTTATTAGTGTCTCCTTCTAAGATCGATGGAGCAGAGGCGTGCACATTGCCACTAGAACTTTCGTCATATTTGCGAGGCCGTAACACTGACCGTGGAGGTATGTTTTTGTTCTTTAATGGCACCAACGATTTCAACGTCTTTTTTGGCTTGACCACAAAAAGAGGCTTTACTTCCTTTTCATGAGCTACATCCGGAATATAATCGTTTAGAACTATCGGTAAATCACTGAAGGAATTACTCTTATTATTTGAATTAGAATAAGGTTTCGCGCCAATACCTCTTGCTGAAGATTTATGTCTTATAACACTAGAACTTGTTTTAAAACTACTACGAGCACTATTGTACACACGCGGCATGACTCTGCCATACATTTGAAGTTTTTGTTTATCACTTTTATCCATTTTTATTAACTAAAACAGTTTACAGGAAACTAAAAGCACTTTCATAAACAATAATTTGTTTTGACAGCATAGATAGTTGTTGTTGTTGTTGTTATTATTCGCTCGAAAGAGCAGGCAAAGGAACTATGCCACACAGCCTTGTCTTTTTTATTTTGAATATATGAAATTTCACTGCTTCACAATATGTTGATGCGTCACATTGTGCAGCCCTTGGGAGATTTTGACGGCAACTTGAGCCAGCAGACAGCTGACAGTTGGCGATGGTATCTAAAGGCGCCTATGCAAACAAACAGCTTATCTTGAGAATCCATCACCATCAGAGCACTTGTTTCTCCGTTTCCACTAATAGTTCACATGCTTAGACAGTTAATACATAAAATCGCACCACTTTTACAAATCAAATTCCACTTCAACCTATTATTTATATACAGGATCAGCAAACCGCGGCTGGTCAAGTTCCCGCCAAAACTCCCCAGCCAAAGAGTATAGTAATTGTCCTCCCCAGCCATAGATTACCTCCTAATAGATTCCGCATACAGGGCCACAAACGCGCGCAACACATACTTGCTGTAGCTAGCATACGAAGCGAAGCTAAGAATCACGACATCAGTATCGACCAAGTTTGTGATCCGTAGGCACGTCCGAGTTCTTGACAATTTAAAAATAGTTTTGTATCCAAAATACATTACAAATGGCTTCCTGTGCAGTAAAATGGTGTGACAAGTCAGCTAAGACATCCAGTTATCAAAAAGATGGCATAAATTTTAATTGGTAAGTAAATTCTATTCTTATCACGTTAACCTATTTCAAATGCACCGGAGATCAACTTATACTGGTATATTAATGGTGCAAAGTGATAACAATTAAGCACCCGTTGATGTCTTTTTGAAATGTCCCTTTCACTCGTTACGTAAATTACAATAGTTGTCTTTGTCTAACAACAGCACGTGTTGCACGTAGTGTTGTGATTTTTAAGTCGATATTTGTTTGGTCATCGTTTAATTATTTTTTTCGAAGTCATATTATTTTATAAAAATAGTGACGTATCATTGTGGTACCTATATGTTATAGGTTTCCTAAATGCCCCGAAAGAAAAAAAGATGTGGATCGACGCAAATTGTCGAGGGGACGAATGGTTTCCCACCAAAATAGTGTACTATGCTCAAAACACTTCACAGAAGACAATCTTCATAATATTATGAAAAATCGTATAAAGCTGTTGGATTCTTGCCAGTTTTGGTATGGACTTTTGCATTTTTTTTAAAGATTAGTACTAACGTAGATTACACAATAATATCATTAAGTGGTTGAGTGAAACATGATATTCTTACATTTAGGTAAATGTTACACGTCGAAATCAAGCTATTTTGAACGGATTTATAAATCATAAAACTTGTAAAAGCTATAATGTGATTATTGTTTTGACTTGGTATTTAGTGTTACATGAACCTCAGTATTATCTTATTATAATTATTAAGTACATCTAAATTTGGAAGACGTGCCGTATGGTGTATTAATTAATAATACTATATCGGTAATGTTTTAAAAGAAACGAATATGTATTTCTGATTTAGATTACTGGTTCACCGCTGAAAGACGCGAAAAACCCGCCAACACCTAAAAATCAGAGTCATTGCTTAGAAACGCCTACAAAACAAAAAAGAAAATTTTCTCCTATACCTGATACGCCATCTGCATTTGATACTCCAGTTAAAAACGTCTTTGTAGAATAATCATCGAATTAACTTGAACAAAAAATATAAAAAAGTTAAAAAGTTAAGTGATTCCAACAGAAGACTAAAAACACAAATAGTTTCTTTGAAGTCATTATTGGTAGAATTAGAAAACAAAAATTCATTAGCAGCGGAAAACAATGACGCATTAAGTTCCTTAGAAAAATCAAAATCTCGAAAATCAGGCAAAATTGTTAGAAAAAAATATTCACCACAATTAAGAGCTTTTGCACTCACCATAAATTACTCAGCTAGGCTTATAATTACGTACGCAAAACATTTAACACTTCTTTACCTTCTGTAAAAAAACTAGGAAAGTTTGTAGTTTTAACACAATCAATTAAGCTTAATTATAAATAATAATTATAATAAAATTATATATATATATATATATATATATATATATATATATATATATATATATATAATAAAAATAATAAATATAAATAAATAAGCAGTTTTGTTAATGATTATATTTTTCATGAAATAAAAAAATCACCAATTCCATCACGAAAGTTGTAATCATGTCATTGATTTAGCTAAGAGTGTTATGGAAAAATACATAGACATACTCGTAAGATTACTCTACTCATCCAGGAAGACAGATCCGAAGAATTCTGTGAGACAATTTTATACTAAATTTATCCATTTTAAAAATCAGTCACATATATATTTATAAATTAAATGTACAAATATATGTATACAATGTTTAATTTTTTAATAAACATCAAATAAAAATTGATCAATATATTTATATATCATTATCAATAATCAATAAATCCCAAATTTATCGATCAACGTTCCAACCCTGTTCCATCACTATGGTTTGGTACATTCTAAGTTTGACCTTTAAATATCCAATCACAGCGCATTTGCCACGTCCCCCGCAACCCTTGCATAGGGCCAAATTTGGTGAACTCGAAACAGAACAAATATTCAATGATGCGGTATCTATTAGGAGGTAATCTATGTCCCCAGCAAAGATAGTGTTTGACAGTAATAAGTAATAACAAGATTGTTGTTTAAGAGTGACAGTGACAAGTCACTTTTTTCATTGGTAATAGATTAGTACAATTGCAGTTTTGCCATTGTAAAGTTCTGAAGTTATGAAGCGTCAGTCTAATGGCAGGGCGCAGACCGCGAATTCGATGGGTCGTGGGTTTGAATCCACCATTCGGCTACTGTCGATAACCACTTATAATACAAGCATTTTAAGCTTACCAGAAGTAGTTAAGGGGAATATTAATAATGTTTAATAGCATTATTAGTACTTAAAAAAAGTAATAAAATAAAAGCATTTACAAAAATTTACTTCGCAAATATCCGTGTTATAACGCGGATATTTTCGAAGTAAAATTTTTGTAAAAGCTTTTATATAATGGATTTCCGCAAAGTAACGCCTGATTCTATTAATTATAGTAATAAAATAGTTTAAAAAACTTCTTCACAATGTGTTGTTGCGTCACATTACAAATTCTTTGGGAGATTTAAACAGGAGCTTGTGCCAACAGACAATAGATGACAACAGTATTGTAAGGCGCCCATGCAGAGTCGAAGAAGCAGTTGTTTCAACAGTGTCCTCTTAAACTTTACATACGTAGATATTTAGTACATAAATCTCACCACGTATAAAAATCTACTTCAAAGCATTATTCAAATAATTCAAATACAGGAGGAACAATCCGCAGGCAGTCAAGTCCCCGCCAAAACTCAGACAAATAACTTTTTATTCGGTTTTGTGCTTTTTATAGCTGATTCTACTAGTTTTTTTTCTTCAGAGTTCTTCAGTTCGGAGGTCACCACTTTACATGTTGGAGTTTTTTTAATGAAAAACTTGTAATGAGTAGAATGCGTAGAATGATTTATTGTCAAAATGCGATTCCTTTTATACAAAAAAATTTACATAATTTCTAACCAATGGAAATGTCTATATAAAAATTACTACGTGGTAGAGCCATGCTGCAGCTATATTATGGTTGTAGCACGAATGGGTCGGCTAGCCCGGGGAAGGACCACGCTCTCACAGAATACCAGCGTCAAATAGCAGCTTAACGCTGCTGTGTTTCGTATGGTGAGTGTAGAGAACCGGAGACGCTTTTTACTGGAAACGAGGCATTCCATCTTATTCTTCACGGGTGACAACGTATCTGTATTTTCATTCGTATTGAAGATAGATGTAGATGTCTATGGGCCACAGCAGCAACTTACCATCAGGTGGACTGTGTGCTCGGTTGTCACTCTTCTCCTATAAAAAAAAACATTTACACTTTTAACATTATGATATCGAATAAAAATCTTACTATCAACTTGTATTATTATTTATTCTGTGCACACATAAAATTAACATACGATGATATTGGTCGTAAAAATTAACGAAGGAACCATAGATAAGCTAATATAATCGGGAGGAGAGGACGATAGCGCAAACCATAGAGTAGAGTAATATATATCCGTAGATAGAGGTAAGATACTATGTCTATGTATATACCGGAAGCGCAAACTTTTTGTACTCTTGGATTCCAGAAACCACCAGCGCCTGATTGCACGCGAACGGTAGAGATATATAGACCCGCGACTTCACCCACGTGTAATTTAGGGTTTTAATTTTTTGCGTGTATCGCTAATTCTTTTCTAAAATAAAAGTAGCCTCAGTTACTCCTTATAACATTAGCTATCTGCCAGTGAAGTCGGTTTTCGGTGACAGCAGATAAATATTTGATATTTTTCTCAGCAAAATTTTATCACCGTTAAGGAATGCATCTTTTTCTGTGGTATCCACTACTTATTACCCGACTTAATAAAAGATAAAATGGAAGTTCTCAATTAGACAGTATTTCTTTTGTTTGTTACGAGATAACTTCTCCGATTATAAATCGATTTTTTTAAATAGTAAACTATATTTCATATTTTATAATCAGTTAAAGTTACAGCCTATGTACATCCCACTTCCGGACACAGGCCTCCTCTCATTTCTGAGAGGGTTTTAGGGTATGGAAGTCTATTTCTATTTCCATAGCATAATGTCGTATGGTATTTTGCTATGGGGACACGCAGCTGACACTGAAATTATATTTGTTTTACAGAAGAGGGCCATAAGAGCAATTTATGATTTAAAGCCTAAAGAGTCGCTGCGACAAAAATTTAAGGAAATTAATATATTAACTTTGGCCTCTCAATGTACGTACACAAAAATAAAAGTAGTTTTACAAAAATAAGTGATATTCATTCTGTAAATACTAGGAATAGACACAAGCTAGTAGTACCAGT